TTCGCACGGCGCCACAGCGAGAGCGCTTCGACACGCAGGATCTCCGCAGAGGGTTCGCCAAGGTCAAGACAAATTCGCACGGCGCCACAGCGAGAGCGCTTCGACACGCACGATCTCCGCAGAGGGTTCGCCGCGCTCAAGACAAATTCGCACGGCGCCACAGCGAGAGCGCTTCGACACGCACGATCTCCGCAGAGGGGTGCGTTTCGTAAGCTGTCGGGCCTACCCCCGCCAGAAAAAGAAGAAGAATTAAGAGTCGAGAAGTGAAGGTAGAACAGAAAAGTTAGCTTGTGTTTTTAGGATAGTGAAGTAACACCCGACAAATTAGCTTGTGCTTTTAGTAGAATGAGATAACAGCCGAAAAGTTGACATGAGAAGTTGGCAGGTGAAGTAACTCTCGACAAGTTGGCATGAGAAGTTGGCAGGTGAAGTAACTCTCGACAAGTTGGCATGAGAAGTTGGCAGGTGAAGTAACTCTCAAAAAGTTGACATGTGAAGTTGGCAGGTGAAGTAACTCTCAAAAAGTTGACATGTGAAGTAGGCAGGTGAAGTAACTCTCGACAAGTTGGCATGAGAAGTTGGCAGGTGAAGTAACTCTCGACAAGTTGGCATGAGAAGTTGGCAGGTGAAGTAACTCTCGACAAGTTGGCATGAGAAGTTGGCAGGTGAAGTAACTCTCGACAAGTTGGCATGAGAAGTTGGCAGGTGAAGTTGGCAGCCGCTTTTAGAAGAAGAACCCTTCGCAATGCTTCCGGGAAAAAGGCCTAAAAAGCATGTCCTTAATGACCGGCCAGATAACCAATGTGGAACTGCGTTCGCGATTGTAACCAATTGATCTGACCTGGGACACTTCTGTATTTCTGTATGCAGTATGCATTTGTGGAGTGTCGTCCTTCAGGTACTTGTCAAAAGTGATCTCCTGAAGTTCGTCAATGGCAACGTTCTGATGGACATTGATGTGCCAGCCATGCTTGTCGTCTTGCTTCCATTGGATGCGTTGTCCTACGAAGAGGCAATCATTTTTGTCTTCGGAACCAACTTGAAAATCTTTGCGAAGTCGTCCCATGATTTCCTTCTCGAACACATCATCACCCGTCATAAGAAGATCATCAACATGAAGAGAAAGTGCTCCATGAACTTGTCGATATTCTTGGCATTGTTACTGGAAACAGGATCCATAAGGTAATCAACTGCTCCTTCGAGATCGAAAGTATTGGATGACTTCTTTTCACTCACCAATGCGGGCTTTGGAAGCTGCTTGCCGTAGTATACATATGTACAACGGTCTGCCCTGGTTGGCACCAGTCCGTAAGAACGGAGTGCCAAATCAAGGGTGTTCCACCATCTGCGGGGTGCGTCATTTAGCCCGTAGGCAGGCTTCTTCATGCGCGCTCCAATGTGTGGTGGATATCCCATTTCAGGAGGGATCTGACAAATGATGTCACGAGTCTGATCGTATGCTTCGCCTTGGAGGAATGCTGTCTTCAAATCCATGTGAAATATATTCCAGCCCTTATTTGCGGCTGCTTGGATTGCAAGGCGGAAGCCACTCCTGGATGCAGCAGGACTATCTGTCTGCTGATCGTTCTTCTGCTTGTCTTGGGACCCAGCGACCAGTGACCTAGTTCCTGACCTGAACCTTGCGTGTGTCGACCAAGTCGAACACATCGTTATCAAGCCAAGATTTGCACTCAAGCTGTTTAGCTTCAAGGAATTGCTTCTGATAAGCCTTTGTTTCAGTGGCTGTCGCTTCCTTCCGCTTCTTGCCAATGAGAGCGGATGTGGATGAAGCCTTCAAGGATTCTTGCTTGGATGAGTACAAGACTAAGAGTGCACGGTCATCGTCGGTCATGTTCTTGCATAACTGGTCCACATGATTCTGATCTGTGTGTTTCTGATGAGAGAATCTGCATCGGGGCGATGGGTTGAAGGTCCCTTTCACACGTCCAAGAAGGACAGGGTTGCCTTCAATATCTCTCGGAACCGTCAAGGATCCAGTGTTCGCACAGATCTTCTGCTCAGCTGTCATGAGTGACCAATGCGCTTCATCAAGAACGAGATCAGCTTGGTGATCATCGTAAGATCTGGTCCTCTGAAATTCTTATGATTCTCCATCTTCCTGTTCAGTATATCTCATGGTTCTCTCTGAACTTCCAGTGCCGGATGAGGTTGGAACATGAGGGATCAGTTCTTCCTCACTTTCATATTGCACCGGCAAGTTTGCTGGATTGTTCGGATTGTAATTGGATGAAGATGCAGGTTCATTTCTGGGAGAATGCTCAGGTGACTCATGATTGTCATCTGGCTTCTTCTTCTTCTTCCCAGTCTTCTGCTTCTTGGATGGGCTGCCAGTCGTTTCTTCTTGCTCAAGTGTTGGCAGTTCAAGATCTTCATCATTGTCTTCTGCTTCGGGATTCGTTAGAATCGCAGGTGGTGAAGGTACCACGACAGTCGGAAGAATTGGCTGAGATGATTGCGACTGTGACGGCAAAGAGACATCACCCCCCAGTCGATTGAGTCCGCTTGAGGATGAAATGGACTGTTTTTGCCGTTTAAGCGCTGCATCTCCTCCGCCGGGTTTGTCGTGCGGCGGCAGTGGTGGATCTACTGAACTGTCCGGTGATACACTGCGTGGTGCTGGCGGCATGGACCCGGAGGAGGATCTGACATGTTCTCGTCCGGTGGAGCTGGAGGTCTTGGATCAGGCATGGGATGGTCCGGTTGATCAGGCGGCGGCTGCGTGTCAGGTTGTTGAGGATGCACCTTGGCCGGCGCATCTGAGAACGACTGATGAACGGATGAAAACATCACAGCGTGCCAAGTCTTCGGATCGTAATTCTCCCAATTGCATTTGGATGCAGGCAAGACCCAAATCCTATTCAGCTGATCAGGCTGCCAGAAGGATATGATCGCATCGTCCGGAGGTGACGTAATTGGCATGTTGATGCCGATGGTGTGGACGAATGCTGTGCGCGCATCGTACTGAGTGGATGAGATGCACAATTGTCTCAACTTCTTGCAGCCATTCCACATGTTCTGACATCGCCAGTCATTAGGATCTTGTTTGAAGATATCGATTTCAGTCCCCGGTGGGTACTGCTTCATCGTCTTCTGAAACTTCTGGACTAGCGGATCTTGGATGACCAACGGTTGAACGTCCTTGTTGAACGGGAGGTCCTGAATTCTGACCGCAAGGTCATGTTGAACTCCTTGTCAATGGCTTCCATCTCCTTTCTCAGGATGTCAACCTGCTTGATGGTGAATGGTTCGAAAAGGTCCTCCAAGCAGTACACCTCGTTGTCAAGTGGTTTCA